GGTTACTTTTGACCTATTTTTAATCTTGTTAGAAGAAGGTCGGATAAATTCAATTACGTTGTGTAAATAAATGATCAAGAATTGCTCAAATTGCTGTCAAATTATGTATTGATGTTGTTTTTCAAGATTTGGTAGTTTTTATCGGTCCAAGTGTTTTCAATTCGTGGCGGGACGCTCCGAGATTTGTGTGAAATTTTGAGCTTTAAAAGCGGCATTTGGTCGAAATTCAGTTGTTATCGATTTTCTCGAAAATAAATCGATTTTCAGCCAAACGAAGTATGCAGTGCTTTGTTTCACCATAAGGCCTACCTAACTTGAGAATATGAGCCCAATCGATTTTTTGGCTGTTGCCACCAAATGTTTGACCGTTGGTAACATTCGCTCTTAATGTCGTTTAGACTTCTCTTTCTTTTTTGTGCCTTCTATGCTGCTTCAATGTATTACGTGGAGAAGAACTGTGTAACTCTAATGAGGGTCATAATTTGGTCATTTAACAAGGCAACGTGTTATATTCTCAGATATGCTCTCTGCACCATTGGAAGATTTTGTAATGATTCAATGAAGCAAGCTTCCAATCCTGAGTGGCTTTTGGCCATGCCGCTGCTACATTTCTTGCGTGGAGACTCAAAGCCTTTCGAGGAACCTGATGTCGGAGAATTTCCGGAAACCTTGGATTGGTGGGGAGCTCGGGGACTAGCAATAAAGGAGTTTCAGTGGTCTGAGAAACAGTAAGTTGTTTTCCGGTAGATGGTTTGTGTTGGCTGTATTTAAGACTTCAATCTCAGCTTTTCCTGTTCCATTGCATGCGACCTAGAGAAGGCCTCATCTCTATCATTAAACTAAACATAAAACTGGATTAATCAAGAGATGGAATATTGTCGGTAATTGGTAAGGATTATCTTTGAGTGAGAAGGCTTTTTGAGTTTTTTCTTTAAAAAAACATAAAATAAGCCTATGTTAGCGTTTAGAGTGGTGTGTTTTGTTATAAGCAATCTGATAGGCGTAATTTTTGGTGTATCTGAAAGCAATCTGATCGGCGCATTTTGTTTAGGTGTATCTCAAAGCAATGCAATGGAAATTTTTTGGGGTAATATTTTGTCTGTCGCACCAATCCGAGCGTTCCTCCAAATTTGTCGTTTTAGAGGTCTTCAAATTTCAGCAAATCAACGCGTCACTCGGAGAGAGCGGTTCGCGAATTAAGGAAACATACCAGTCGTGTTGGAAAAGCGGTGGAGTTTTGATCGTTGTGCGGCAATGGTTATTCTTCGTTCTGAGGAGACTGAGTGGAACATGAGAAAAATTTTGAATCAAATATTGCTTGAGATGTTGATGCGAACAACTTCAGAATACCCGGCCACTTTTGACCGTTATGAATCGATTGATTCCGCGGTCCCGACGTGGAAAAATAATATAAAGAGAGAGGACATTTAAACTAGTGGTCCCGCATTCTAGCCTCCCTGAAGTCGACGAATAATGAGATGATAGGGCCGTTAAAACATTGCATCCACAATCCCGCGCTGATACAACGAGAGAGCCCTCAAACTAGTGCTCTCGGCCCAGCACTTTAAGTGTGACTTACACTCGATGCCAAAACTCAACCTCGTTCCCAGGCTACGTCCACCACATTACTTTACGCCAATTGAAAATTGCTGCGTAACGCCTATTATGCATTTTCTTGGACAGGAAAAACCGAACAGAATTTCTGATTCTGGCCCCTTATGGCCAGAATAATTAAGAGTTTGTCTCTGACCAAGGAGCTGCAATGAGCATCATCATAACCCGTTGCGTGACGAGTCCAAATAAGGGCTGTGGAGCGGACTGCATGCGCAGGAAGCTTGATACCAATGCAGTTTATTTTTGTCAACAATTTATTCAGATACCAGCGGGAATACAGAAAACATCAGTTACTTAGTGTCCCATTTCAACCCACACATCCGAAAAAATAACGGCTGCATGCGCAGTATGCCTACATTTGAACATCTTGGAAAAGTTTCAAAAAACTGAGTTAAAGTTTGAAGCTTCCCCTTTGCTCGAGCCTCGAAGTTCTTGGATATACGAACAATGCAAGACACAATCTGTTTAAGTAAAACTGAATACTAAAAGTGAAGGCGATAAACCTATAAATTGTTAGAAAATCTAACATTTCGAACGTCAGAGCGGCCAAGGGTTAACTTCACGTTTACTAGCGCTCAATCCAGTTCGGGTAACGAGTTATTACTGATATATACATATTTTTACTCAGGGTTTATACAGATGTTTGGCCTCGTCTTGTCGCAGCTTTCCAAGTTGATCTTTTGCTGAAAAGAACCGTTCTCCGCGCACTCCCTTTTTGGGCTCTGCTTAACCTTATCCCAGATAGAATGTTTGACGTTTCCGACGTTTGCGTTGCTTTGGTCACGTCGTTTCCTCGTGGAAATTTGAACAATGAAAAGGTTGTTATAAAACATCCTTTACTGCTTTTTATTTGAATGGTGTAAGAGTGTCTCTTTTTTAAGTAAAGCAAGTGCGAGTTCTTTCGATCTTTGATTTTGGTTCACTTCTGTTTTTTTATCGGTTATACCAGCATGCTTTATTTTTGTGGCGTTCATTTGCATTTTAAATTTTTCTGGCATAAGACGATAACTCGAGAACGCTCCATCAAAACGTTTTTGAAAATGATCTACAGCCAACCGTTAAGAAGGTTGTGCATAAAGAGTTTCGCAATTATTCAACGTCCACTAAGTTAAATCATAGGGCAACCTCATCTTGCTTTTACCCTTTCTCTCCGGGAGGTGGGTGGGAAGAAGAGGGACCTTGCAAAAGAGGATGTTAAAATCACAACGTTTTCTTGGTATGCCTGCCTCCATAGGTTGTACACACTTGGAATAGTCCCAAATATTATGTTATCTTAGGTTCTTCTAGATTAGCTGATTAAGAATAAGCAAAGGTAAAGGTAATTATGTTTTTTTAAAAAAAGTTACATTTTATTGTATCTTAGAAAATCTTTATCGAAAAGTGCATTCTATCTCTGAACAATATTCTGGAGGGTGCAAGCGAAACAATCAGGTGGGTTGAAAATAAGATTTTCTTTACCTATTGTTAGAAATGCGTAAAGCATGGAGCTGTTTCCTGTTTAAAGAACTCTTAGGTGGTTAACGATTAACAATATACCTTTCTGCGATTTGGCCATTTACATATATGTATTCGTTTTGTTCGGATTTAGACTTTTATCTTTGGAAGGTTAAGAACTCTCTTGACTAAACTAACTCTTAAGCGATATTCAGATGTCTTAAAGCTTTTCATATTATCGTTGACTCTGTAGTTTAACAAAGAACAGTTTTAGCTCCTCCACGGCCTTTTTGTGACTCACGTGATGAAACTGCGTAGCTACATTCTAAAATAAATTCGAAGTCGCCCATAATACTTGATTGCATGGTGTCATTGTTCATGATACAAATTCTGAGAAACTTCCTTACGCGTACTACTGTACGGTCAGAATACAACAAAATCCTCTTGACTATTGCGGTGGCTTCAGCTCGAATCGATCAGTCACCTTAGCCAAGATGCTATGCACACAGAATGTGTGCAGCACTCCTTTTTTCTCAACTTTAAAACTAAATTTAGTACAGTGCAGTAAGAAAAATAAAGAAAAGCATATCGTTGCTTTCGCAGCTAGGTTCATATCTTTACTATTTTTTAACTGGTCAAAGGGGTAAAAAAAAAATTTGAGAAAACAAGCTGGAATTGAGATTATCAGTGTTGGGTATCACTTCTCTATGGGTGCCAAGGTTCAGTGCGACCTTGATAGCATCTAGCCTTCCTATTAGTAATAACATGAGGAGTCATTAAGGGAAATAACTTCAAACCGGTGCTCCTTTTTGCAATTAGTTCCAACATGAAGATTATGAAGTTCAGAGTTTCTGCAAGTTTGGAGCTGGTCAATGTTTGCCTCGACAGTCTCCGTTACCGAGAGGGTATTAAATTGATTTGCCATGCAATTAAGCTGCTATTTACAGGCATGCAACAGTGTCAACATGCTATTGAAGAAAGTCAAACTGAGAACATAGACAAGCTTCAAGAAATAGAAACTCTCAAAAAAGACCACCTGGATGAACTTTGGGTGAAGCTCAAAAGTTATCTGGAATCAAAACTTGACTGGAAGATGCCCGACAACTACCAAAATGAAGCTCTTCCAAGGGAACTTGAGGTAGGCATTACAAACACTAGCGGTCTTGATTCTGCAGTTGATAATCTAATCTGCATAATAGTCAAGTCTTTTTCCCTGAATGTCCCTGCAGTGCACATTTGAACTTCACAAGGAAGATGTGCACCCCTAACACATTACCCCTTTTTGAGGTCTTAATGTACATACTTTAGCTGGTGTCACGTATGGGCACTACAAATAATTATGTCCCTCCTGCCTCCTCCTCTCCCCAAGGTGAAGACAGAAATAGAAATGTGTCATTAGTGAAGACAAAATTGGTTTCATGATGAAAGGCATGATAAAAGGGGTGTAGATTAGGGTTCTGTGCGAAAGCCTTCAATTATTAATTCAAAAACAGACAAAATTAAATTGTGAGATATGCAAACTTCGAATCTCTGCCTATGCTGAATATTTTACTTACCTCTTTACTAAGGTTTGGAGTATGTTGCTTAAAGTCACAGATGGCACTCAAGGATTTGAAGGGTACCGGAAGTACTTGACAGAGCATTTCATGGAGCGCGCAAAAAAGGTAATTGTTTTTAATCTGTTACATGCAGCCCTTTTTAGTTGTGGATACGCGAAGCGTAGGATGGTTATTAATAGGGGTCAGAATATGCAAATCTGTCAGCCACTTAGAAGTAAAAAAATCGATATGTCAACGGCAGACCAATCGATACTTATTGTCCAAAACATTACCGGAACGCCTCCATGGACTTTCCGAAGCATTGAAAAGAAGTGTATGTAGTGATGACTCTGATTTCCACCACAAATCAGAGTCAGTGTGCCAGTTTTTCGACAAACGCGGTTACCCTGTTTC